TTGAAATGTTCTCCCGCTAATTTCCACCTATGGCCACGAGTTCTTGTATTTGAACTAATGCTGAAGTAACTATTCGGTTGAACAGCATCCAAACCTGTTAGAATATTTGTACAATAGAATTGTAATTACACTATTTATGTTTAAAGTATTAAATATGTAATGTATAATTTATATATATATATTTCAATCTTTCAAAGATGTGTGGCCAGTTCATTATGCCATAGTCCTTACTGTCTGTGCCAGGCTCTTAAATGACAGATTTTGTCATTTTGGTTCCTTTAGATAAACATTGGCTTCATTTATATTGTTGTTGCTTTATCAACAGACCATCATACGTTTTAAAAGTTATAATGATGCCACTTTGTTGATCCCCATGGGGAAATTCTCTCTTTGCCTGCCCCATCCTGCTCTCCATGACACACAAACGCCAGCTTGGCAGCCAAGTCCCGACTTAAACCGGTGACTCTCTGATCTCAGGCACAGAAGCCACATGCGGCCTCATTATCTGACACCCATTTCCCTACCCAGATGTCAGCACTTTGAAGATGAATGGATGCATGATTTAGGTCAATTCCATCTATTTTCTGAACCTACTTGTCCCATGCAGGGTTGTGGGTGGTCTTCAGCCTATCTCAGGAGCTACAGGCACCAAGCAGGGAACAACTCGGGAAAGAACACCAACCCATCACAGGGCACACACACACCTATGGGTAATTTGGAAACACCAATCAGCCTCAGCTATGGGGGTAATCCAGACTGCCCAGAGGAAACCTCGTGACAACACAGGGAGAACATGCAAACTCCACACACACACGGCACTTTGGCAAAGACTCAAACCCTGGTCCTAGAGGTGTGAGTGTTACCCACTGCACCACCAAGCCACCCCATTTAGTTCACTTATGCAATTTAAATTGTTACAGACATAATGTCCTTGTTGATTTAACTGTTAGTAAGCCCAATTTGTTCACCAATCCCAGCAGGTATATTGCATTGTATTCTATGACATGGGAAAGAGTTTGATGTTGGCGGGAACACAATAATTTAAATGTAAAGGTCCATTTATATAGGGGACGATTTAAGCCATATTAAATATTGGGGTACTGTCACATGTGTATAAAAAACACTATGACCAGTTTCTAATTACTAAAGTGCAATCTAGTGTGTTGCCCAGCAACGTATTGTGGTAGAAAAATTATAAATCAAGCACTTAGAATAAAAGTCTGGACCTCTTAGTTTGGTGAGTAAAGAAAATCTCTTTTATTCCAGCAAGTTCAGCAAAGCGCTCCCATCACACTCTGGCGCTTGGTACCAAGTCACACCCAGCACACAGAGCAACCAGTAGATAAAACATAACTCCCAGGACTTCTAAGTCCTGATTGGTCGTGAAACATCAACAAACTAAGCTGAAACGTACAACAAACACAATTCTCCTGCTCCATTGGTTCACCTTGGTAGCAAGGTAAAGTCCACCCATTGTGCGGAACTTACTGGAGACAGCCTCGGCTTCTAGACTCTACATGAGATATGTATATAGATATTAATTATATGACATTGAATCAGTGTTAATGTTTGATTAATGATTAACACATTGACGTATTGTCTCTGAATCACTGGAAATACATGGTTAACATATGATTAGTATGATTAACATAAGTATGATTAACATGATGCGATCAATTGCGTAACATATTATATATTGACTACCACTACTATTCTATTAAGCTATAACTCTTTGTGCACCAGTTGGGGTGGCTTCGAGTCTCTTCCTGCAAGTGGTTTCTCCCCCCCTTTGCTCCACTGTCTGCCCCTCCAAGGTCCGAGCTTCTGCGGAGCCACCTGCAGGCAGCTGTCACAAAGCGAGGTCACATAGTATTCAAAACAATCTCTTCTGGTCTAAGGCCTAAGACATAACAGACCCAATATGCCTCCCCTCCCGGGCCTACTAATGTCCAATTTTACTTAAGTATCTTCTCGGTTTTTTACACGACAACCACCCATTAGTTTCACAGAAGTTTTGATGTGTAATATCATTATTCACCACAAGGTGGAAGCATAACACCGTTTTCTGCAAAGACGAGACCAAAATAAAGTGCAACTTTTGCTTCTCAATCCATTGAGGATAATACACACAAAGACAGGGAATTGCAACTGTAACATAGCGTGTACATATGGAAAACAACATATTTTTATCATGAAAAACAATTTTGGCAGATTTATACTGGACGGGATGCCAGTCCATCATGGAACCGTGAGCATATATACGCACAAGCACAATCATACTCTCTGGGCAATTTAGACACGCCAATTACCCTAATTACATGTTTTCAGCCTCACTAAATCATTTAGGCGCGATTCAAACCATTATTTATCAACATTATATGTACATATTATATTATATTGCATTATTTTATATTGCATATATATATATATATATATATATATATATATATATATATATATATATATATATATATATATATATATATACACCAACACAGTTACTCTGCACTTCACTCCACAGGACTCACTCCCCTCCTATAACACTACACCGCATACTTCTGCGCTGCTTCGTGGCTTTTCGCGCCGCGCCGCGCCCCCCGCTTTCCGCGACAGCGCCCCTGGCGGCAGTGAGCGTAGCCGGCCCGGCAGACACTGATTCGCCGCCGGGAGCCTCGTCGTGTGAGTCATTCAGCTCCAGCGAGCAGCTCCGCCGAGTGTCGGGATGTGACCCCGGAACAGGACGCCTCTTCTCTAACAACACACCATTCAAATAAAACGGACCCAATAAAGGGGCTGATCTCGATCAGGAGAGGTAAGACATTTAATGGCCGCTGTCCGCGTCGTTTATCCCGCCTGTAAAACGCCGTGTCCGACGGGGATCCGCCACTCCGCTGTAGCTACACAGGAATTTAAGGCAGATTTTTTTTTGCACCTGGATTGTACTCAAAGCAACTTCATTGATGGCTTTTGTCTAGCGCATACTTTCACTGCGAAGCGAAGAACGTGGTTTCTCCGGGTCGCCAGCGACAATAGGCGAAGTTTGCACACATGTGAGATAAACAGGAAGGTTTATCCAGCTGCCGCCTGAGTTTTATTCGTTCGATCAGTGAAAATGTTGCATGCGGTGCGTACGGTCGGCGTTCAGCAACCGGCCGATTCCGCTGGGAGACAGGAAACTGGCGCTAGCAGCGGCATTTCCACGGAAAACCGGCCAGCTAGCTGCTTTCTTCACCTACGCTGGCGCAATCGCATAGTATTAATTCGCTTTGTTACTTAGCGATATTGCAGAGTTTATGCAGTACGAGTAAAGCTGCACTGAATGTGCATGGGCCGTGCTCTTATATAGGGTTCCAGTATATGGGGTTGCTGTCTTATAACCATTTTTTGTTTTGTTGTATTTGCACACCGTCGGGCTATGTTGTAGCACACTTTAACACTTTCCTCCTATTTCGTAGCCATATATAGATTATTTTGGCCCACACTGTGTTCCTGTACTGATCAATTATTGCCAGTAGATTAATAATAATAATAATATTATAATAATAATAATAATAATAATATAAGATTTATACTTACTCTGGCAGTTCAAATCAGGTAGCCAAAACTAAGTTCTTGGATAAAATAGCGTAACCTTAGTCTCCATCTGTGAGTAAATATTTTTTTTTTTCCCCTTCACACTTACACATTCACAAACACAATTTAACTCAAAGTAACACTGTCCAATAAATAATCCGTCGTTCAGTTTGCCATGATTATGGTTCCTGCTAAGCTTTCCTGGGTACCATCTGGTATAGAAAACCGAATTGCTGACTGAATGAAGTTTTAATAAATGTAGGCCTATAATCAGACCTGCACTTTAAGCAAACGTTGTTGTGTCTTGTCACCTTATAACTTACAATTTATATGTAGTGATTTATTTACATGTAACCACATTCAGCATATAAGATCCCTACCTAGTGTCCAAAGAAGACAAATCATGATTCGTGTTGCTGTTCATTTTCTTATTTTTATTAATTGAGTTGACATTCTTTTGTTGCATGTGAGCATGTGGATTCCTCAAGCTGAAAGCTGGGATTAAACAGGCGGAGTGGAGATGAGTTCACTTGGCTGTTTTAGCTGACCGAGCCCCTTTGAGTCATCGCTCTAACAGAAAACGGGGCCTGGACAGGCAGGGCTGTCAAGGCGAAGTGGAAAGAGGCATTGCGCTGACACAGCCCGTGTGACGCTGTCAGTGAGCCCGGTAGATTCCTTGGCCAGCTGGGAACCGTGTCACTTGCCTGAGCTTGTGGCACCCGGTGGGTGTGAGCGCGGGGTGCGGTTTCCAGGGAGGGCTTGGCCGGCCCATCGGGCTCGCTGGGGGCTCTCAGCCTGCCGGAATCTTGGCTGCGACTCCGGTGACCCCCGCCTCTTCTGCATGATTCCCTTGAACACAGCAAGATCCTTGGCGTGCCAGGTGCTTGCCCCCCCCCCCCAAAGAAAAAAAAAACGGTCCCAGCTGTCCCTGGTAAAGGGGGAGTCTGTGGGTCCCTTTCCTAATTAGCTGCCAGTCTTTTATTTCATCAGGACGATGCCTTTCTGAGGATCAGACACACTCTGAAGACGCAGGCCAGCTTTTAGGTATAAGGGATGCTTGGGGGAGGGGTTAAAATAACATCTGTAGTAAAGTGCAGTAATGAACGTGTCCACAAAGTGGTATTTAGCGTGTAATTTGTATTTAAAAGCAAATCGTGCATTAAGAGATTTGAGAGAAGCCCTCTGTCTCCAGCTGCTGTGCTGGCTGCTGTCCGTGGGGTTTTCCCGTCTGTAGCATCTTCTCTTCATTTCTGTAGAATCCCACCTTCTCCAGCTGCATCAGCTTTTTAGTTTTATGTTTCCAGGCCTTGCAAAATACTGTTTGCTATTCTGATTCATCATTTTCATCCAGTCCCCTGGCATAAGAAATATGTATGCATGAGCAAGGCACATGAGCAAACCTGGGGCCTGTATCATGGAACTGGTTTAACAAAGTCAGGGTCAGTACATATGTTTCAGGTGAACAAAACCAAACCAAAGAATTTCAAGATAAACAATATAGGAATGCAGATCATCAGCACTCTGTCGAGCCCTGGTGTTGTGTGCAGCGATCAGCCAGCTAGATATGCATGGATCACAACTGGACCACATATTTCAGTGTAGAGGAACAGAGATTTTTTTCTGGTAAAATATGAAGAATTCAAAGGTAGGATAATGGTGAAAAGCAGCACTGGCTGTTGCCAAAACAAGGAAGACGTCCATACAGTGTGATTGTCGTTAAGGAAATGCCTATCATTTTTTAATTTCCAAAGATGTGCTTTGTGGTTTTCATAATTATTCTTAGTCTTTTTATTTTCATTCCCTTTTTTATTATTCAGTATTAAATGAACTGGTCACTCTTCAAAACCCATTAAATGTTTCTTTTTCCATCACACACACACACACACACTACTTGGGTTTGTGGTCAGGGAAAACAACAATGGTGTTGACATATTTTAGGAGACTAACGTCCATGTTCAGTTATAGTTACACCAACAACAGCGGCTAAACCAGGGAGCCTGGGGGGCTCTAGCCCCTCCCACAATGACCACTGCACCCCCACTGCCCCCCACAGCACCCCCATTAACTGGTTTCTCTTTTTTTTCTTTTAAAATGTCTGAAACCTCTGTAAATGACTAGAGAAAGGCATCGTTATGTCGTTTCAGTCTTGAGATAAGGAGCGTTGTTCTTGTGATAAAGGAATCATTTGTTCAGGATCTTGGGCTGTTTGATTCAAAAGGACTGTAGCTTATATGCAGTTTGATTGACTTAGAAGGAGAGAAGTTGACATTTGATCATCACAGCTGTAATTTCCTCTTGGTCCCAGTGGTGATCAGGTTGGGTGTATTTTTATGTTTATTTACGATGTAAAGCTTTGAGGAATGTCATTTTACTGTCGTACGCAAGCCCACACAGTGCCTGGTTTATCGAATTCTGTCTTACAAATTTTTTTTTTTAAATTATGCATCGATCTTAGCAAATGTGGTGTTTTAACTGTCTTGCTCAGAGGTAAAAAAAAAAAAAAAAGTGATGTATTGTGCTTTAGGGGTTTTAATACACATGGGGGCCACATGACCTAGAAGTCAGAGTTTATTTGATATTCTGTTATCCTGCGTAGCTTACTGTGCCCCCCCCCCCCGATGTGGAGTTTGATTGCTGCTGATCAGGCGCTCTAGCCAGTTATGAAACTGAGGGTTAGGGTTAGTAAAGTGTGCTTTAACCGATGGACTATTGGGAGAACATTCACATTTTAATGAAAATTGACCTGTTGAGTAATCTGGAAAACCAAGGGATGTACAGGAGCTACCATTAAATGCTGGACCAGTGTCTTGTTGCAGCAGCTAAGCTAAGCTGCTCCGGAGGCAGCCTGACTTACCCTGACGGTGTACCCCGCTAAGAAGGGAACCAGCTCTGTGACATCACAAACACATGACTATGTGTACTTGGTCTCAAAGTTACCTGGCAAAGCAGTCCAGCTTCATGCGACAGGCACCAGGTACTGTTCTGGCACCGTTTCTCACCTTCAGGTAAACAAAACAAATAGCATGATATAGTAAGAAATATTGGGTACAATATGGTCAGCTGTGTGGTTTGCCTGTGTACTCAGTGGCAGTGATTCTCAGGGTGCAGACCACTCCCCTCTAGCAACACCCCACCCCCCCACGGGACTGTATACTTACACAGGAGGTGTCCGAAGCATTGGGCTGGCTTGTGAAAAGACTGAGGTGCTTATGGCGGTGGGCATGCTCCGTGTGGGAATGGTGAAAATGCGCGTCATGTGGCGCTGATGAGCTCTGACCTACTTCTGTCCCCTTGCCCCCCCGCCACGCTTCACCGTCGACCCGTGTCTCCCTCATATCCCGTCTCCATGTGAGTGGGAGATGCTATGGCCACATCAATTCACTTTAGAATAACCTGGAACCAGAAGGTTGCAGCTCTTGGTCCCTGCATGACTTTGCCCTTGATCCTGTCAAAGGTCGATTCCCTCAGTAGAAATACGTCCACTAATGTTTTGGTTTTTTTTTTGAGTGCGTAGTGCCCTGTTCTGGCAGTGTGTGGCTCAGTAGGTTAGGAGGCCGTTCTCATGACTGAAAGGTTGCATGTTCAAATTCCATGTATGATGTCACTCTCGGGCCCCCGAGTTGGGTACTCCAGGGACTATCCCTGACTTATCCCTGCCTTATCCCTGACTTATCCCTGCCTTATCCCTGACTATCCCCGCCTTATCCCTGACTATCCCCACCTTATCCCTGACTATCCCCACCTTATCCCTGACTATCCCCACCTTATCCCTGACTATCCCCGCCTTATCCCTGACTATCCCCGCCTTATCCCTCACTTATCCCTGACTAACCCTACCTTATCCCTGACTATTCATGCCTTATCCCTGACTATCCCCGCCTTATCCCTGACTATCCCCGCCTTATCCCTCACTTATCCCTGCCTTACCCTACCTTATCCCTGACTATTCATGCCTTATCCCTGACTATCCCCGCCTTATCCCTGACTATCCC